TACCAATCAATACCAGGCAAAAAAGATTACCTGAGTCATGTTTGGAGCAAAAACCATAGCGATATTTCTTGCATTCATTTTGTTGAATTCTTCTTCCTCAACAACATCAGCCATCAGATTTATAGCCCAATTGAGTAACGCGGTCTCAGTTGGCTTTAACTGCTTCACAAGCTCAACAGATTCCTCTTCTGTGTTACATTGAAGAACTTGTTCAGGGGATAGTCCATCTAGCACTCCCGAAGGAAGTTCTCGAAACCAGGCTTTGATTAGGCCTGCCAGACAATGGACATCAATGTCATCAGGTACAATCCCCCTATTCAATTGGCTTCTCACAAGCTCTTCATGGCTGTTCTCTGGGTTGATACGGAATATTCCTTCTGCCTGCAAAACATCCAAAGGGGGCTAGTAAGAAGACTAATAAGGAAAAAAATAAGTAAACTGAAAGAGAAATTCACAAATGCAAACAAAAGATGGTATTGTTATCTCACAAAACTTCGTACCTTCAGTCCTTCTTGTGAGTATAATCGCTCCTGCAGTAGCAAGAGAATGATAGGGACACTGTTCCCTTTTGAATCAAAAGACAGCTGCATTGACTCTGCTGAGACGCCAAACACACTTGCACTATAAAATTAGATGATTTACAAGTTAGACTATGCCTTTTTGAAGATTCAATTGTAACTACAATTTCTCAGCAACCAAACAAGTAGGCAATAGGGATTTGCCTAATACAGAATTGTACGCTAAAACCCCAAATCAGAAGCTTAAGAGCTAAATCAGCTCAAAATGCAGGTCACCCTCATAAATCCACACTCATCAAGCAACTTACTTTAACTGTCAAAGATTTAAAAGCAGCCTAAAGAACCACCATTCGAGCATTCTAAGCGCAACCCAAATCAAATTTCATAAATCTAAGAGTGCCCAGAAAACAAAAACAAGAGCTTTGGTTACCTAGCACTGGGAACTCGACCAGGGACCTCAACCTCGAACTCAACAGGAAGACCCAGAAACCCGTTGAAGCGATCAAAGGTGACATGGGTAACGTGCTGGACATTTGTGGGCCACCCGATCTCCATGTTGTGGACGGTGGAGATGACTTCTTCACCTCGTTCAACACGGCAGGCCACCACGGATTTCCTTACAGCAGCTAAGAGAAGGGCTACCAGAGAAATCTGGTTTTGCTCTTCCTCTGAGCTCTTGTTAGTTCCTTTAGTTCCTTTCCCATTACCACCACCACACCCACCTCCCCTTGTCACCATTACAAGCCCTGTCATCTCTCTGTCTCCTCTCTCTCTGCTCTGTTCTGCTCTCTTGTTGTAGCTTACTAGTTTGACTGTCTGAAATGCTGAAGCGGTCACTCTCTCTGAGTGTTGGGAGTGAACAGAGAGAGGTTAAATCTCAGTGTAAAAGTATGTGAGGTTTTTGAAGTTCCAACTTGTTTCCAAAGTTCAAACGGCCACTCGTTTCAAATTCCACTTTATCTCCAGACTTTAGTAATTTGACCTCCAACTGGATAGTAATAACAATAGTGCCACTATACCGCTTTCGTTTGGTGCTTTTGGATTGGTTAGTCAAAATCTTCTTTATGAATTTAATTAGAGTGGTGATTTTCCTACTTCTTTTTCTCTTATTTTATCCATTTACACTCCTTTTTTATAACTAAAAATGGAGTGTAAGTGGATAAAATAGGAGTGGGGAAATCATTGCCATTTAATTAACTCAGTGGTTAACATCATTTATTTACAGCCTAAGAGCATCTTTAAGGGAGATGTCAAATACCAAACATCAAATTTAAATTTGATGGCTGATGTGACAATTTAACATTTTATACAACTTTACACTCTACCCGATATGTTAAATTAAATTATTAAATTATTATATTTTAGTGTTGATTCATTTTTAATTAAAAAGAAAAGAAAAGACAAAATAATCTAATATTCATTTGACATCTTGCTTTTGGGATGTCAAAAATAACATCTCAACCTTCAGCCTTCATTCCACATCAGCTTTGACATGTCGGTTGGAGTGATGTGAGATATTATTTCTAGCTGTTAAATGTCTATATGGCACGTTTGACACATTGATTTGAGATGCTCTAAGAGAGTATCTCCATGGGAGATGTCAAATACCAAACATTAAGTTTAAATTTGACGGCTGACGTTGCAATTTGACATCTTACACACTTTTACAGTCCACCCGATATGTCAAATTAAATTATTATTTTATTACATTTTAGTACTGATTTATTTTTAATTAAAAAGAAAAGAAAAGAATAAATAATAAAATATTCATTTGACATCTTACTTTTGGAATGTCAAAAATAACATCTCAACCTCCAACCTTCATTCCACATCAACTTTGATATATCGGTTGGAGTGATGTGAAATATTATTTCTAACTGTTAAATGTTTATGTGACACTTTTAACATATCGGTTGGAGATACTCTAAGGAAACATTGTTATTAATGAGATGGGTCCATAATGTCATTTCCCAAGAAATCCTTGGGTCATCATCGGTCATTGGAATTTGGAAAACAAAACAATTCTTTTATTTTTCTGGCTAAAAGAAAGAAGCGGAAACAAACAATTTGAATTTGAAGATCGGACCGTTGAGAAACAAGGACGGGCCCGCCAATAAGGACAACTTTCATGTGTCCAACAGTGAGGGTCTTTTTATGCCACTGCCATTCTCGTGAAGAAAGATGGGTTAAAAATTTGTTTCTTTTTTCCCAATTATATTATATTATTCTTTCTTTTTCCAAAAAATATTTGTCATTTTGTCTACAAGACTGGGGACCCAAGAAGATCCTGGTTTTGAACATTTGTCATTTGAGTTGAGAGCTCAATCAGTGGTGGTGGTACTTTCATTTCATTGGATTCTATGTTCACTGTTTTTGGAGCCTTGTACATGTCAAATTGTCAATATAGAAAATGCCTGCAGACTATATCTTCTGCTTACAAGTTCTTCTTGTTGTGTTTTTCCTTTTCTTTTGTTTCCCTTTCAGAATTTATCAAATTTCACTTGAAAATCTAGAAAATTAAAGCTCCAAAAAACTCACTTAGCTCCTATCTTAACAAAAAGACACTTCTATTACACATGCATATCATGTTAACTAGTAAGAATATCATATTCGCCCGTTACACTCGAATTCGAATTCTTCATCAAAAAGTTTTATAACACATCTATAAAAAGAAATTTAGCATGACAGTCGAGAGATGCGTAGCATTGTAACCATGCCATTGCCAAGTGACCATGGTGTGGCAGACTGCCATGGTTAATGACAGCCAATGACCATTGACCCTTGCCATCTTTTGTTAATGAAATGGTTATAAAGAACCTTACTTACTAAACAAATTAATGAATAATATCTAATGTCGTTGCTCTAGAACTGGTTTCCTGGCTGGTGGGTTCTATTGATTGAATTTGAATCCAACTCAAATTTATCATAAACATTTCATATGGATCACTGTGGTTGACGAAAGAGCTTAGACTAATTAAAAAATTAATGAATAATCTGTAATCATAGGGTTAGCTAATTTAGCAAACTTTCCAGAATTCCAGTTCATCACCTTATGAGACAAATTCGTATCAAAAAACTTATGAGACAAATTTTCTTATAATGGTATAATGTATCATCCAATCATGTAGACTGACGGATATTATTCATTAATCATGTCTTGGCTAATCAGTAGCGGGACACGTTTACAACAACTAATCATGTTTTATGTCCACAATGTCAACAATCCTTTTTTAAAACATCTCTAACCAAGTCAACCAGGAAAAAAGAAAAAGTAAACACTGAACCCGATGTATGTTTCTGCTAAACCACGTTCGTCCTTTGATGTCCCATCCCGTCATATTAGGGACACCGACACGAAATTTTAATACCAAAAAAATGAAAGAAAAAACAAAACACAATGTTGTTAAGTTTATCTAGACCACTTTCACGGCATCAAATCTGCATTAGCAATTATAGAGTGATGAACATAATTATCATATATTATTGTGGAGGCTAACAATACTTATAGGGGTATCAATTATTGACGAAACCCATAAAATAATAAGAAGATGCGTTTTGTTTCCCCACTTGGGATGCCATACAGACTCTCCTCCTATAAAAGGAAGAATTTGGTTTTGTACAATGCATTGTAGATTGGAGAGCTTAGAGAAACAAGTTAGTAGATTAGATAATTAATTAGGGAAAGTGAGGTTCATCAACGAAATTCAACAGGAGTTAACGTTTAAAATGAATGTCAATATTCTGTTAGTGGCCTTTGTAGTTTGTGGCCTTCTAGGGGCCTGCCAAGGAGGCCAGCTGAGGAAGAATTTCTACCGGAGCACGTGTCCTTCAGCAGAGGAGATTGTCAGAAATGTCACCTGGAACCATGTCTCCAGTAACCCCAACTTGCCAGCAAAGCTCTTGAGAATGCATTTCCATGACTGTTTCGTCAGGGTAAGCCTCATCTGAAGCTATACATAGATATATATGCATGGTTTCATGACATGCAACATTTCAATGCTTATATATTGTTCATGTTCATATTGCTTATGATATACATATTCGTCTAACCTTGTTGAAGAATGCATGTGAAATATTTGCAGGGTTGTGATGGCTCAGTTTTGTTGAATTCGACAGCAAACAACACGGCAGAGAAGGACGCAGCTCCAAACTTATCTTTGGCAGGTTTTAACGTTATTGATGATATCAAAGAAAACGTAGAGAACAAGTGTCCAGGAATTGTATCTTGTGCTGACATCTTGGCTTTGGCTGCCAGAGACTCTGTTTCATTCCAAGTAAGACATTCTTAAGCAAAGCAAAGCCTAAAATTACAATTCATATGTATATATATATGCTGCAGCATTGCACTCATGTGTTGTATAACTTTTGATATATACAGTTCAAAAGATCGTTGTGGAAAGTGCTCACGGGTAGAAGAGACGGCACAATTTCACGAACTAGAGAGGCCTTGATCAACATTCCCCCACCTGCCTTCAATTTCACCCAACTCAAACAGCGGTTTGCCAGCAAGAATCTTACAGTACATGACCTTGTGGTTTTATCAGGTATGGTGTACCCCAGAGACGATGATAATTAATTATTTTTTCATTATTTTGTCAAAACGATATTCTAAAGTACTCTAGTTAATGTATGGGGAGTGAGATCGAACTCGGGTCCAAGGAGATATGCACACTGTCTTAGCCAATTGACCTAATCCACACCTGCATACACTATAGTCGATAACAAACTAGTAATTAATTAAAAACAAACATAAATGGCCAATCTTAATCTTATATATAATATATAAGTATTATTATTGTGTAGGTTCACACACAATTGGAGTAGGGCACTGCCCCACCTTTAGCAACAGGCTCTACAACTTCACTGGAAAGGGTGACCAAGACCCTTCTCTGAATGCAACCTATGCTGCATTCCTCAAGACTAAATGCCCAAGCCTCAACGACACTACAACCACTGTGGAAATGGACCCTGGGAGCTCTTTAAAATTTGACACTGGCTACTATGCCACCCTCAAGCAGCACAAGGGACTTTTCCAATCTGATGCAGCCCTTTTAACAAACAAGGGTGCCGCCAATATCGTCCAGGAATTGGGTGACAATGACAAGTTCTTCACAGAGTTTGCTCAATCAATGGTGAGGATGGGAGCCATTGAGGTCCTCACAGGCACGTCCGGTGAGATTAGGAGCAAATGTTGGGCTGTGAATTCCAATTAATCAATCAAATTATTGGGTGTTTGCCATGAATAAAGTATAGCCTAGCTAGCTAGCTTGTGGGCTTGTTTCAATATGTCCTTCAGTATTTGTGTTCCTAGTAAATTAGCAATGTGGCTCTATCTATAGCCTCTGTTCAGTATTATTGTTGTCAACTTGTAATACATCGGAGGGATGTTTTCAGTATTATTTATTTATTCTCTCTTCTTCCATATTCCTTAGCACTAGTATGGATCCTCATCTAGTCTTTCATTTCCTTGTGATACCATAGAGTGGGAAATCAAACTCGGGTGCAAGAGAGAGGTCACATATATCTTGGTCAATTGGCCTAATTCACATTTTGCGACACTTTTATTATATCACCAACATTAATCTTGTAAGAACTTTTATCTCAAAAAATGAAATAAAAAATCTTATATGAACTTATGAACCGGATTAACACTAACATTGCCAAGGGACACCAAGATGCAAGAATTATATAGTGAGGGCGTTACATATGACTTTTAGGTGAGGTCTTATCTCTTAACTGTTGGATCAGACTAACCAATTTAATCCAACGGTTAAAAAATAAAACCTCATTTAAGGGCCGTATATAAGTTCCTCACTATAGAATGACTCTACCAAAATGCACTATCAAAACTTTGGGGGGTTTTAAGGTTCCGATGGTGCATAAACTCCTAATCCAAAAATAAGAAAAAAGCCCAAATCAATTGGATAAGCCCGATCACATACCGACCCAAAGAAGAAGTACTCTTCCTCATTTACCAGTAGTATTCCTTCTCCGATCCTCGCACAACACCACATCCGTCTCCCACTCAACATCAACTCTTCCCCTTCCAGTTTCCAACAGTACTATTATTCTTTTCCTCTTTCCCCTTCCCCAAGTTTTTGTAAATTCCCTAACTTTTCTTTCTTCCTTCCTTTCCCAAGTCCACACTCTTCAGGAATCATTTTTCAATATCAATTCCCTTCGAAGCACCGACTTCTCAATCCTTATTAATAAAACCACAAAGCCAAACCTTTCCTTCAACTATTGAATATTATTATATCACCTCTCTCTCACTCTCAGCCAAAATCAACAGTAATTCGCCAAATCCCAAAGATGATGCTTAGAGTTCGCAGCAGAGACGGTCTGGAACGAGTCACTGTAGATAACCCACAACACACCACTGTCTCCCAACTCAAAGCCCTAATCCAAACCCAGCTCCGAATCCCTTTCCAGAACCAGACCATCTCCACCAACCAAAACCTCCTCTTGGCCAAGACCCATGACGACATCTCCCGATTCACCGACATGGCAAATCCCAACACTTCTCTCTCGGCCCTCAATCTCTCCCATGGCTCCATCGTCTACCTCGCCTACGACGGCGAGCGCACCGTCGCCGGCCCCACCTTCCACCCGGCAGGCTCTTTCGGTCGCAAGATGACCATGGACGATCTCATCGCCAAGCAGATGAAAGTCACCCGCCAAGAAAACCCGCACAGCGAGCTCGTCTCCTTTGATCGCGATTGCGCCAATGCCTTCCAGCATTACGTCAACGACACGCTCGCTTTCGCGGTGAAGCGCGGTGGATTCATGTACGGTACGGTGTCGGAGGAGGGAAAGGTGGAGGTGGATTTCATATACGAGCCTCCCCAACAGGGGACTGAGGCGAATTTGGTGTTTTTCAGAGACCCAGATGAGGAAAAGTCGGTGGAGGCTATTGCAATGGGGTTGGGAATGAGACGGGTCGGTTTTATATTCACCCAGACGGTGAGCCAGGACAAAAAAGACTATACTTTGTCGAATAGGGAGGTTCTTCAGGCCTCGGAGTTTCACGCGGAGAGTGGCTTGAAGGAGTGGGTGACTGCCATGGTTAAATTGGAGGTGAATGAGGATGGCGGTGCTGATGTGCATTTTGAGGCTTTTCAGATGAGTGATATGTGTATTAGATTGTTTAAAGAAGGGTGGTTCGAGACTGAGATTGAAGAGGGTCATGATCCAAAGTTGTCCAAGATGAAGAAGGATGTTGTTGTTGGGGTGAAGGATACTAGGGAAGTGGACAATGATTTTTTCTTGGTGGTGGTAAAGATCTTCGATCACCAGGTATGCTTAAGTTCACTATTTTTATTTTCTCTTGTTTTACTTGAACGAATTGAATTGCACTATTTATTTAGATTGTTGTTTTATCTTGCTGATCAATGTTACTTTTTGCCCCTAGCAATCACGTTCCTGGTCGATTTGTAGAACACCCTATTGTTGTGAGATAGGAAATGAACTGTTTAGAAATGTTAAGCATGAAAGAATATGAACGAAGAAGACTCAATCTTATTGATAAAAAGCTCAGATGAATCTTTACAGAGAGTACAGATGACCATTTATATTCTCTGTTAACAATATATCTAAGTAATCTTCAACTTAACCAACTCGCTGAGATTGTGACACTTGTCACAATCTGAGCAGTCTAGTGCTGTAGGCAATAAAGAGACATGGTAATCATGGTTAAAATCATGTTGTAATGAAGGCTGTTGCATAGCCTGATTCCTTGTTTATTCAGGTTATATCAGCAGCTTTATCTGGTTTTGAATTGCCTGCTGTTCAATAGATGTTTAAGACTGGATGTGTGAGAAAATTTTGGTGCTGTTGTGTGTGTGTGTGACGATTCCCTTTCCTAGTTACTGTTGTGCTCTTAAGGTTCTGAGGTATATATGGTTACACCTACAATGGACTATTTTTATTTCAATAGCTGATGGTTTTAGATTAGCTTTAGTTCTGAACCATTAATTAAAAGAATTAGACCACCATGCTTATTTTTCAAATTCCAGATACCGTTGACACTGAAGCTTAAGCCAGTTGACCAGATGGTTGAGGGTGTGTAGTGTTAATTGATAATGTGGGTAATTTGAATGTTTGCAAGTTGAGTAGTTTAAAGTTGTTCTTTTTGGTTTTTTATTTGTTTATATTTTCATATCAACATTTGCCTTTTCTTGGCTCCAATTTGTGATTTCAGTAGTTTGATTTGGTTTTGGATTCCCTGCAAAACCATATGGGGTTTTGTGGCTTTCTAGCTTGTCACTGGAGTTATAAGATTTGTTTTAATTGGTAGAGCAATATTGAACATCTTAGAGCTCAGAGGAGTTAAATCCACTTCAAGTGGTTGATCTTTGAAAGGAAAAGTTCATTTTTTAATTGCTAAGATTCACTAGGGTTTACTCTACGAGTGGTTGATCTTGGAAAGGGCTCTAATAGTGACCTTACAAGATTCACTCAACTAAGGTTCGTTAGCATGATGTATTGTCGGATATCCAATTTTTATTTGGTGCGAAGTTATGGAAATACCTAGTGAGGGCTCTGATTGCTAGTCCCCCAAGTATTATGGGTTGACTAGGTTGAAGGTATCAAAATGACGGGAGTGTAGGGATGCATGGATTATACTCATTATCTGGGAACGCTTGTTGCATGTTACATTTACTGTTGGGAGACAACATCTAACTTGATCGTCCAGTAATCAGTGAGATATCCGTTGGGAATGATTTACAAATTATATGTTTTTCCTTATGGTTCAATGTATACATACATATATATGTCTTGGGAATGATTTACAAATCACTTTGCTGCACAAGTTTACCTAGTTACTGTGTTCTGCATTTATTAAACTATTCTGCAACTTCATCTACTTGGGTTTCTTATTGTAAAGAAGAATCAACTGTTGTTCTCACATGAATTTGTATCACAATGCAGGGCCCACTTTCATCATCTTTTCCTATTGAGAACCGTAACGCCCCAGTGACGTTGAAGGCTCTGAAAAATCATCTGGATCGTGCTAAGAGTCTTCCATTTGTGAAGCGAATTTCAGATTTTCATTTGATGCTCTTGCTGGCCAGGTTTTTAGACGTAGCTGCAGATATTCCTGCTTTGGCAGAGTGTGTCCATACAGAGTCACCCATACCAGAAGGCTACCAGTTATTAATCGAGTCGATGGCCAATGCTTCTTGATGCTGCTTTGCGTGCCCTTTTGGAAACCGATACATTCTAAGATCTCAGACGAGTGTGGCCAAGCAATGATCCTTTATTGTGATTAGCTCCTCCTATGCAACAATCCCTGTTGGTGTCTTGTGCCATGCATCACGCAAAAAGTTTGCTTTGCCGCTTGAGTAGTTTAACATGTCATTTCTCAGGCACTTTGTGTACTAAAAAATTCAAGCATATTATTGCATCAGATGGTCTGGATATTTATGCTTGCCAGAACGAGGCTTGTGTGATTGTCGATGTATTATAATTTTAAATTTATGAATTCATGTTCATCTTGCAAATCATGATCCATGGACGCGAAGGTCTCTGATTAGTCTTGTGCTTAAATTTCACTGCAAAATGCAAATGGTCTTCCGATGGTCTTAACGTCTTTGTGCTTAAATTAAATTTCATCGCAAAGATGGACTTTACGAAACTGACAGTCCAACATATTCTGTGTAAGGGAATGGTAAAATGAGCAACAACATGTGCTGATATAAGCCCGTTATTAAAAAGAGATTATAATTTTGTTTATAGACATGAGTTTAGTTAAGGAATAATACTAGTTTTACTATATTTTTTATACCACAATTTTATACCACATGATGTGGCAGCTGATGTGTATATACCAAATCATGTAAAATATTAGTTTTTGTTTTTCTAATTTTATTTATTAAAATACACTTTATTCATTTAATTGATGTGACATATAATATGGATATGCCACATTATGTGGTATAGAAATGTGAGATAATAATGTGGTAAGTGTAGCATTACTCTTAGTTAAGTTGATTCGAGTTATAATTTTCGGTTTAAGGAGGGAATAAGTTTATTCCCGTGAATTTTGTCCGCATAGAAGAACATTGGCCGGCTTAGAAAAAAATTTGCAGACAATATTTTCATGAAAAAACTTTCATTTACTAATAATTTATTATTTATGTATATAGAATCATTTACTATTTGTTACAATTTTTATTAATATAGCCGAAGGAGGAGTAAATGAAAAGAAGAAAAGAAAAAAGAAAGTAAAACTGTAATACGCGCTCCATCATAAGCATTGGTGAACATAGAAATTGTGTGTTATCTGTGAAGTATTATTGACTCTCTCAGATCTTACTAAAAATTCCATTTCACAGGCGGGAGATTTCTCCCTCTCCCTCTCTCTCGCTCTCCCTCCCTCCTTCACTCTCTCCCTCCCTCTCACTCTCTAACTCTAAATTAAGTTAGGGCTAATCTTGTGGTCGCAGAACCAGTGGGCCATGGAGGAGCCAGCCTCAGCCACAGCCACTGAACCATCGACTGTCCTCCGCGTGAGTTTCATTTCTCTTCTCTCTTTCTTTCTCTGCATTTGGTGAAATTAGATATATCTTTGACCTGATTCGGTGTGTTGCTGATGAGTAGCAGAAGAGGACCAGGGCTCAGACTCATAGCACTGAGAACCATGAGAGGACCAGCGCTGGGAGTGACCAGGCGGACCGCGAGAGCTCACCCGATGACTTCCAAGAGACTCGTCCTAAAGCTAAACGAGGTCGACCTGCCGCCGCTGGCACTTCCGCCGCGCCACAAAAACTCGCCACTCTCACCTTGATTGGTACTTCATCTCCCACAGCAATTATATATATGTTGATATATATATGTATATATATATATCTCTGCCATAAGAAACACCATGAATTCTTTGCTAAATTACCTGTTATCTTCATTACTTGTAGCTTGCATTTAGTTAAATAGTTTAACTGGATGTTTCATTTAATGAGTGAAGAAATTTTGAATGAACGAGATGGGTTTTTGCAACTAAATTCTTAAGGGACCTTCTACATCCATGACGATCAATGACCCATTTGCTAAAATACCCACTAAATTGATACATGATTTCCTGGTTCATACAATCCCCGCTAAGTAATCATGTAGAATAGTGCTTTGGCGAAAAAAAGAAAATCATGTAGGATGTTGTTGCATGGTAATATTACTGTTGGGACACGACCATGACATAAAACTTTCTATTCTCTTTTTTCCATGACCAGAATTCTTGTGAACTGAATCGACCTTTAATTTTTGAAGAATTTTTACTCCGTGACTCCTAAGTTCGAATATACACTATGTGGGGATTTAGTATACACATGTACACAATTAAATTCACCTTGGTGTCTAATCTTCTGCAGAGGTCATCAAGGGCAACGGAAAACTTATTCCTCAAGCAGTCAAGCTCTGGGTCGAGCGATATGAAAAGGATCCAAAACCTGCTATGGTTGAACTCTTGATGATGCTATTTGAGGTAATCTGGAAGATATTTTATGAGGCTTCTCAACCAGAATAAATTAAGCAAAAGTAACAGAATTTCAAAATTCCAGCTAATAGTTGAAGGCTAAAGACAGATCTAAAGGATATTATAAAAGAGTGAAATGGGTTGGGTTTCCCCATCTGAATCGGACATTTCTTTTCCTCAAATCAAAATACTTAAAATGACTGATTTTGCAAGTACAGGGTTAACTAACAAATGTAGCTCGAGTATGATGAGACTTATATATGTGCAGGCATGTGGCGCCAAGTATCATATCGAAGGAGAGTTGCTGGACGAGACTGATGTTGATGATGTCGTGGTTGCTCTGGTCGAGCTTGCTAGAAATGTATCCTGCATCTCTTCATTATTATGTTATCTTTATGGTTCTTCCCTGGTTCAGGGTTTTGTCATATGCCATCTTCCTTTTACTTGTATTTCACTTTTTTATGCTATCTTTCAGTTCCCACTGGAAAACCAAATGATCTAAGCTATCAACTGGTCATACATCAACATTCTTTTGCCCAAAAATTTTCCTTCACTCCTTTGAGCTCCTAGGGTAACGTTGAAGATTACCAAAGTTCAAAGAAGAAGGAGTTTAAGAACTTCAAAGATAATCTTCAATTGTTCTGGGATAATTTGGTCCGTGAATGTCAACATGGGCCATTGGTTGATCAGATTTTGTTCGAGAAGTGCATGGACTATATTATTGCTTTGTCATGGTCAGTGCTAAATTTTTTGAAGTTCCTACTGTTAAGGCTAAGTTTATCTATTAACTAAGCTCTGTGATAAATTTCGTGGTTTTGTGTTAAGCAGCACTCCTCCAAGAGTTTATCGTCAGGCTGCTACTTTGGTGGGTCTCCAACTTGTCACATCATTTATAACTGTTGCTAACACACTTGGTGCTCAGCGAGAAACTACTCGTAGACAATTAGATGCTGAAAAAAAGAAACGAACTGAGGGGCCTCGTGTGGAATCACTGAACAAGAGGTTCTCAACGACTCATGACAACATAACTATATTAGAGCAGATGATGCGCAAGATATTTCAAGGGTAGGATATTCTGACTTAGTATTATTAGTAAGAAGCAAAGATGAGTGATCTGATTTGATAGAATTCCTGGTTTATGATAATCCTGTAGTTCTTTATTACAGTCTAAGCTATCATTGTAGGTTATTTGTGCATCGCTATCGAGACATTGATCCAAATATTCGGATGTCTTGCATAGAGTCACTAGGGGTGTGGATTTTTTCCTATCCATCAATGTTCTTGCAGGATTTGTACTTGAAGTATCTTGGATGGACATTGAATGATAAAGTAAGTTTAAAATTATGGATAAGTCATAAACTAATTTCCTTTATACTTCTTCTTATGTGCTAGAAAAACCTCATTTCTTTTCCTCTTTCACTGCTTCTAAGAGTGCTGGTGTAAGAAAAGCTTCTGTTCTTGCGTTGCAAAATCTTTATGAGGTTGATGATAATGTGCCAACTCTTGGTCTATTCACTGAAAGATTTTCTAGTCGGATGATTGATCTTGCTGATGACATCGACACTTCTGTGGCTGTATGTGCCATTGGCCTTGTAAAACAGCTTCTAAGGTGACTGCCCATTTTGGGAACTTGTTAATAAATTAATAATTCCCTGTTCACTATATGTTTGAAATCTCATTGAATTAAGCATTTTGTATGCTGCAGACATCAGCTTCTACCAGATGATGACTTAGGTCCTTTGTATGATTTGCTTATTGATGATCCAGCAGAGATCAGGCATGCTATAGGAGCCTTAGTGTATGAACACTTGATTTCTCAAAAGTTCAATAGCTCCCAATCTGGTGCAAAAGGTTTCACTCTTTTGGAACTCTATTGCTTTTTGTGGATTTTATGATTCTATCAACCAAATTATTTTTCCCAAAACGAATACTTGTGTTCATCACTGTATTCTTTCCAGGTGATGGCAACAATTCTTCTGAGGTCCATCTTGGCAGAATGTTGCAAATTCTAAGAGAGTTCTCTGCAGATCCGATTCTAAGCGTCTATGTCATTGATGATGTTTGGGAGTACATGAAGGCGATGAAGGTTTAGTGTTAACTCTGATCGTTTCATCCTTTCATAAGTTATAATACTTTAAATGTATGCCTTATAAACCTTTTATTGATAGTTACTTCTTCAACCACACCCCCAACCCCCCACCACCACCACCACCAAAAAAAAAGGCTTAGTTTTCCTTCGGAGAAGCTACTTTAAATTTATTTTCCAATGGACATCATTATGGTATTTTCATAATATATAATAGTATTAAGAGAACCCTCATTGTCAACCTTCTGTTTACTTTTATTGTTTCTTATGCTGGTGGTTCGTATTCTGTTTGCAGGACTGGAAGTGTATTATCTCCATGCTCTTGGATGAGAATCCTTTGATTGAGCTTACTGATGAGGATGCAACAAACTTGGTACGACTTCTTTGTGCATCTGTCAAAAAGGCTGTAGGAGAGAGGATTGTTCCTCCCACTGATAATCGGAAGCCATACTACAGTAAAGCTCAAAAAGTGCGTAAATTTCACTTTTATCTTTTGCTCCTTTGTTTTCTAAAGTACCGTTTCAATTACAATGTAATTATTGTTCCTTTGTCAGCTCATAAGGTGTTTTTTACTTGATTGGGTAAGCGTAATGTAATTTGGTGCTTTTAAATTTGGTTCTTGGATTGTTCAGTTGCTGTTGCCCTTATATGTCTGCTGACTCTGCTCCCGTTGTAATCCAGAGCAGACTTACTCTGCATGTTGTGTTATCTTTGTATTGGTTGGTCTTTGTCCAAGTTGGCCAAAGCATATATTGGAGCATATTTTATTTCAATCAATATTTAACATGCTTTCCTTGAAGTTTACTGCCCTGTTTGTGCCTTTACCAGCTATAAGTCGTTATTTTGATTTATGTTGGTTTGACTGAAATATACAAAAGAGGTTTGGATTCTAAATTCCTTCTCTTGAGTATGTCAGGAAGTATTTGAACACAACAGACGAGATATAACTC